CATCCAAATCTTCCCCTCCTCTAATGAGGATTTGAATCTAGGAAAGGTGTTAACTCTGAGAAACTGCTTCTTAGAACACACGCGCGAAACCCACCTCTAGAGAATCACTGGATTGTTTTCCTTGGTGAAACAGAGACCCGAGAGAAGCTTGTTGTGCTAAGCCAAATTCAGTCACACTGCTGTTACCTACACACACACACACACACACACACACAGAGCACAGAACTTAACAGTGGAGACCATCTAATCGAGCACAATTGAGATAAGGCAGACCTATACCCAAGGACAAGTCTACTCGTGTGGGGAGGTGTGTGAATCAGAGGCATCTTTACAGAAGCTCAAAAGGTCAACAATGTGCCAAAATAAGGCCAGATAATACCGCCAATCTCAGGGCAAAATGAAATTTAGCATGATCCTATTTACTCTGTAATATTCAATTTCCAGAAAACGTAGGAGAAGGGAGCCAAAGTCTACTGAACTGACCAACTATGTGTCAGGTGCCTTACCCATGTTATATCATTTATTATCCAAAAGGGATTCTGGAGCTCAGATGCAGAACCCAAGTTCCTCCTTCCTGAGGGGCATTCAGAAAAGAACAACTTTTGAAAAGCCTTCAGCTGTGGCTCCAACAAGGGGAATTGTGTTTCTGGTGTACATGTTGATAGGAAAGGACATACTAATAAAATCCACAAGCAAAACAGGATTTTAGTGGTGCTGAAAACACTGACATCCACATCAAGATAGGACATACACACGCCTGCCCAGCTCAGTCAGTTGAGCGTGCGACTCTTAACCTCAGGGTCATGAGTTCAAGCCCCATGGTATATGTGGGGACTACTTTAAAAAGAAGAAGGGACACACACAGCCCCAGAGTTAGAGGGTATGTCAGACAGCTCCTTTGTGGGACAGTTATGCCTCCATTTCCACAACTGCAGGATTAGACAATTAAGTCCTGATAAACAGCTGCTCTAGTTCACAGACCACAAATTCAAAAAAAAATTGGCTCAGGGCACCTGGGTGTCTCAGTCAGTTGAATGTCAGACTTTGGCTCAGGTCAGACTTTCACTGTTCATGAGTTCAAGTCCTTTATCAGGCTCTCTGCTGTCAGTGCAGAATCTGCTTCAGATCCATTGTTCCCCCTGCCCCAGACCCCTGCTCATGCTCTGTCTCAAAAATGAACAAACACTAAAAAACAAACAAACTGAGAGGTCCTCCAAATTCAACAGAGGGAATCAAAAGTGCTTTATTTTTGAGGACATAAGCATTCTGAACTCTTTAAAGATTTCAAACATTAAGACTCTGCTTCTGGGGCGCCTGGATGGCTCAGTTGGTTAAGCGTCCGATTTTGGCTCAGGTCATGATCTTACAGTTCGTGGGTTTGAACCCCATATCGGGCTCTGTGCTGACAGCTCAGAGCCTGGAGCCTGCTTCGGATTCTGTGTCTCCCTCTCTCTGCCCCTCTCCTGCTCATGCTTGGTCTCTCTTTTTCTCAAAAATAAACAAACATTAAAAAAAAATTAAAAAGACTCTATGCTTCTTTACAATAGGATGACCATTATAGCTTCCAAATAACATCATCTTACATTTATATTATTTACACAGCAATTCCACAGGCACTAATTAAGTAAACCCTCTGTAACAATTTAGTAGGTATTGTGGTACTCTGCCCAGCTATTGAAATATCGACTACTACTGAATTTTACAAAACCACAAGGGAATTGAGAATGATGAAGTCCACAGCTGTGAGGGAGAGATGTCTTGGATGTGAAGAAAATAAAGAAATGTGCCACTTCCCCCAAGCTAAACACTTCTACCAAAAGGCCCAAATCCTCTGGAGATAAAAGCTCTCTATTACCTCAAGGGCCTGAAATTAAATGCCTCAAAACCTCTACATATGCTCAGTGCTCTCTGGTAATTAACCAGAGAACAAGTGTTTCTATTATTCATGTTCTTGTCACAGGCATTTGCCGAGAGACAAGTAACAGCTATTTCTAAGCAAGAGTCCAGGGAACCTAGCCATTGGCTGAGAAAAGGGCTAGTCTTTGGCCTGTGTCCTAACCAGTTCTCCTCCTCCATCTGTTTGGTTTGCTTTTTTTGGTGGTGGGGGGTGGGGTGGGGTGGTGGTAAGATCGCCAAAGAAAGTAGTAAGAGGAGTTACTTGGTTAAGAAACAGAATTAGGAGCTGTGTTGTAACCATGTGCGTAATGAAGTGCTTAGGACGTGCCAGGCTTCCAAAGCAGGAAGCAGGCAAAGGAAGCACTGTGGTTTCCTTTTGGCCAGGGATTCCCCTCTTGGGTTAAGCGAAAGGCCAGGAAAGATAAAGGCCCTTCCCCAATGTCAACAAAGTCCAAGGATGGTTGAAATTCCAGGAGGAACAGGAGTTCTGAAATGTCCTGTGACAGTGACATCCACATCATTTTATATGTAAACTCACAAATAATGCTCTCTATTTTAGAGGGGAAAATGATGTCTCATGTCTCCAAATGCCCTATTATTTAACCTATACCACTTAATGACAGCCATCATACTGGGAGGAAAAGTTATTACAGGTACAATCGTACACAGTAGGAATTTAAAGAAACCTGGCTTAGAGAATGGTCTGAAGTTGAGGACAGTGCAGCAGCAATCAAAAACTGAAAATCATTCTACTGGTTCTTCTACCTCATAATAACTGCAGCAAATTTTTGTCTTTTATACCTTATAACAGCATTTTAACACATAGTATTGTATTTAAATATAATTAAAATTCTTCTGAATCATCAAAGTTCAAAAAGATTCTTTTCAATTTGCTTTTCAGTTCATCAAATAAACAAGCACTCTTGCTTTATTTCTTTCAACTAAATTAGGTTAGGGGGGCCCTTGGGTGGTTCAGTTGGGTAAGCGTCGGACATCAGCCTAGGTCATGATCTCATGGTCCGTGAGCTCAAGCCCCACGTTGGGCTCTGTGCTGACAGCTCAGAGGCTGGAACCTGCTTCAGATTCTGTGTCTCCCTCTCTCTCTGCCCCTCCCCTGCTCACACTCTCTCTCGGTCTCTCAAAAATGAATAAATGTTGGGGCGACTGGGTGGCTTAGTCGGTTAAGCATCCGACTTTCGCTTAGGTCATGATCTAGCGGTTCGTGGGTTCGAGCCCCGCGTCGGGCTCTGTGCTGACTGCCAGCTCAGAGCCTGGAGCCTGTTTCATTCTGAGACTCCCTCTCTCTCTGACCCTCCCCTGCTCGCGCTGTCTCTCTCTATCCTGGAAATAAATAAAATAAAACATTAAAAAAAAAAAATGAATAAATGTTAAAACAAAAAACAAAAAACAAAAAACACTTTAAACTAGCTTAGACATAGAAACAAGCAAATCAACGTGTCTACCAGGAATGGTATTCCATTCACTGCTGCATCACTTGTTCCTGTTTATCGCCTACGCATAACTCAGCCTAGTTTTGTTCAACTGGATATCTGAACTAGGAAAAAGAGGAAAGCCCTAAGAGCTGCAGCTGTTGTACTACTACTTCCTGTTGCAGAGCGATCCAGTCAATTCCGATCTTCTTCTATTCCAGGACATTTCCCTTCCAGGTCCTGGCCAAAGGCAGAGCAAGTTCTCTAGGTCCATGAGTCCTAAAAAATTCTCTTAAATCAACTTTGCTTTGTTTATTGAATTTACATTTTTTAAAAACCATTTCTATTTCCTGTACGCCACTTCTTCATGCGCTCAGTAAAAATACTCTTAACTTTCTATAAAAACCAATCTTCCAGTCTTAAATAGTCCTTGAGGTTTTTAAAAGGTGCTCTTCACTTGAAGAACCATTCTGTGCTATCATAATAGACGAAAAAGCTTAGTCCCCCTTACCCTAATTCCATGCACACACCACCTCCCTACCACTGAAATAAATGCCAGTTTTTATTCCCTATAACACTACCTGTCAACAAAATGTTTATTTGTTATCAAGATCTCCAGTCTCTTGCAGTTTTTTCTTCCATCATGCTCCTTTTCGTAAAAGACTGAAATTGTTATTAACTATAAGCTACTTTGGATTATAGTGTCTCTCAAAGACAGCACAGTTGTTCATGTCTAAACACTGATTCCATGTCCTAGATATATATATAGAGAGAGAGAGAGAGAGATAGATATAGATATAGATCTATATATATACATAGCTGTCAGTCTGGGAATAAAATCCTCAGGAAATAAAAAAACATTGTTTTTCTTAATCTTGGACATAGAAATGAAGTCTATAATTATAAAAATTACAGATATAGGGGCACCTTGGTGGTTCAACTGGTTAAGCATCTAGCTCCTAAACTTGGCTCAGGTCATGATCTTATGGTTCACGAGATCAAGCCTCACGTCAGGCTCTGTGCTGACAGCATGGAGTCAGCTTGGGATTCTCTCTCTTGTCGTCTCTATCCCTCCTCTGCTCGCTCGCTCTCAAAATAAACAAACAAACATTAAAAAACAAATGACAAGGGCACAGCTGGTTAGGTATCTAGCTCTTGGCTTCGGCTCAGGTCATGATCTCACAGGCTTGTGAGTTTGAGCCCTGTGTCAGGCTCTGTTCTGACAGCATGGAGCCTGCTTGGGTCTCTCTCTGTCTCTCTCTCTCTGTCTCTCTCTCTCTGTCTCTCTCTCTCTCTCTTTCTCCTTCTCTCTTTGCCCCTCCCTGGCTCACACTTTCTCTCAAAATAAATATATAAACTTAAAAATAACCTACAGGTATACATGTGGGTTTCTGTCCCACGAGCACTAATGGCACACGCCTGCTTGGTGTTTCATCACATCACCATTGCTGCGGGACAGTGGTTCAGTCATCTGGCTGACAGCACAGCCAGAATGACTGTTGAAGGCTGTTAAGACAACTTTTTGTATCAGTTAAGACTGTAGCTGGTTGTCACATGATTGCTGAGAAAACAAAAGCTTTCTGGGCAAAGCGCGACTGGTTGACCTGACTGGGTCACAGACACCTCACAGCAGACCACGCCACTGCCTCCTCCAGCTGTTACAGCAGGACGTACCTCTTCGTAGTTTTTCGCCTCCACTCCATGCTTCATGTCTAGAATCACGAGTTGATCAGGTATCCGCCCTGTTCCTGAGAGAGAAATCAAAAGAGTCATTGTGTAGAATATTTAAAAGTCCGGGAAATTACCCGCCCACTCTCCCTCGCTCTAACCCCTACCCTCTCAATAGAGGGAAACAGCCACAGCTCCTCCCCCTACTCAGCTGCAGAAAATTCCTGGCTCTGACTAAAATCACAAGCATTCCAGACAAAGCCTCTATCTGTGTGGGGTGACAGAAAGCAGTGAGAATACGCTGCTGGCAAACAGCTCTGAGCAGGCAGGACACAAGACACTGCGGCAGGTACTACAAAGGACTGAAGAGCAGAAGGACAACATGCAGCTAACTAGATGAGGAAATGAAACTCAAGTCAAACAGTATAAAACTGAGTGGCATATAGACCAATAGGTAGTGGGCACCAACTTAGACTGAAAAGGTACATTTCCACATCTGAAAAGGCCTGTTAGTTTTTGCAAAAAAAAATGGGTATATGCTAAGCTTGGATTTACTTAATATAAACAGGAGTACTGCAAACAACACAGGATTTAGCTAATATTCCACATTAATTCAAATGTTTTGGTTAATGTAAGACCATTTCAGTAGGCTAATAAAATGTTATAAAGGATGCACAAAACACTTAAAAGAGAAAAGCCCAAGAAAAATACTTGTAAATAAGAATACAATTCTCAGGGATGCTTCTTAGAAAGAGAAATGTCTGTTTGGGATAGATAGGGCCAACAGAACTATGCTCATATTAGAAAAAGTAAACTGATTCAGCTTGATCAAAAAGGAATTTAAAATTAAATCATCAGGTAGGAGAGAGGATAAGACTCAGAATCCCAGGAAATTGCTCGGCCCCAATCCCCTGGAATTCAACAAATTATTTATAAAATTAAAAACTGCCTGCATGAAATTAGGAATTTAGGGAAACAGTGCCACTTAAGCATTGAGGTACTTGAGACTATAAGCCAGAGAGAATGGTACTATACCATCTGCTGCCTGAACACTGGAGGTGTCTGATATGGACAAAAGTCAATTCAATAACCACTCAGTGAGAACTCACTAGGTGCTAGAACTGTACTGAATTGTAATCTCTGCCTTCAAATATTCAATAGGGATCTAAGACATAACTGTGCATAATAGCTACAGTGAAAATGCAAAGCAGTATTCAACTATAAGAAAAAAAAAACCAGTTCAGGGGAGCCTGGGCAGCTTAGTCAGTTAAGCATCTGACCCTTGCTCCTCCCCCACATGTACACACTCTCTCAATAAATAAATATAGTAAAATAAACAAACAAACAAGACAAAAAAAACCCAGTTCAGATAATCCCAGCTGTGGAATAAAGGTTAGAAAACGGAAGAGAATAGTTATGGACAGACTTCACTAAAGAGAAAGCACCTGAAGGCCAAGGACAGAGTACTCTAGGCAGATGGCAAACTATGGGCAAAGACTCAGATATTGAAATGAGTATGGCAGGTTTAAAAGACAGTAGGGGTGCCTGGGAGGCTCAGTCAGTTAAGTGTCCGATTTCAGGTCAGATCACGATCTCACCATCCATGAGTTTGAGCCCCGCGTAGGGCTCTGTGTTGACAGCTCAGAGCCTGGAGCCTGCTTCTGTGTCTCCCTCTCTTTCTGCCCCTCCCCTGCTCATGCTCTGTTTGTCTGTCTGTCTCTCTCTCTCTCTCAAAAATAAGCATTAAAAAAATATTTAAAAGACAGTAAAGAGGTTCTTTTGGATAGGTTAGAAAGATCACTTGAAAGCCACAGAAATAAGACCACACAGGTAGGACTAATATAAGAAACTAAGACAAGTCACAGATCCCTTTTGAACATTAAACGAGTAAGTCTCCAAAACAAAACAAAACAAAAACAGTGGCACCCAGAGAGGTATAGATCTGTTTCCCCAAATCTCATGTACAATCCTGATCACAGCACTGGCCCATAAGAGATGCAGCGCAGATTTTTGATTCTCCTTCCTCATTTAAAAAGTTATGTAACTGAATCAGCTCACAACCCCACCTGCTCCAAATGATCAAGAAACTCTCTTCCTAACAGACTCTTTCCACCACCTCTCTGTTACCACAGCACAGCATTAAGTATTATACAAACACAACTAAAACCACAAAACCACAGACTTCTGCCCGTTCTCAGTCCAGACCATATAGCTTCTTGCATGGACCAGCCCAACCTATCCCCATAGCTGACATCATGGCCCTAAACAGGCCCCTTTGTAAAAAACCAAAAACCAAAAAACAAAGAACAAAAACAAAAACCTTCTCTGCATTTCTCTGTCAAATGGACAATCTTTTTTTTTTTTAATGTTTATTTTGAGAGTGAGTGCAAGAGAGAGCATGAGGGGTGAAGGGGTGGAGGGAGGTTCCCAAACAGGCTCCATGATGTCAGCATAGAACCCGACGCAGGGCTCTCAATCCCACAAACCGTGAGACCATGACCTGAGCTGAAATCAAGAGCTGGATGCCTAACAAACTGAGCCACCCAGGTGCCCCCAAATGAACAATCTTTTGAAAGGTGCCCCAAGGACTGCAAGTTATCACATTTCCAAATCAAAACAAATGAAACTGGAAATTGAGTGCTGACTATACTGAGTATGTATATACATTTATGCATATTTTTTTTAATGTTTTTTTAAATTTATGTTTGAAAGAGAGAGACAGCATGAGCAGGGGAGGGTCAGAGAGACAGGGAGACACAGAATCCGAAACAGGCTCCAGGCTTTGAGCTGGCTGTCAACATAGAGCCCGACGTGGGGCTCAAACCCACGAACCGTGAGATCATCGCCTGAGCCAAAGTCGGACGCTTAACCAACTGAGTCACCCAGGCGCCCCATGTATATACTTTTTTAAATGTTCATTTTTTGAGAGAGCGAGACAGAGCACAAGTGGGGGAGGGGCAGAGAGAGATGAAGACACAGAATCTGAAGTACGTTCCAGGCTCTGAGCTGACAGCACAGAGACTTGAACTCACAAACTGAACCATGAGATCATGACCTGAGCTGAAGTTGGGCGCTTAACCAACTAAGCTACCCAGGAACCCCATAAATATATATTTTAAAAATTAGTTCCTGGGCATCTATATGCACAACATCAGGACATAAAACACTGAGAATAAAAGATAATTTCTACCTTCAAAGAGTTTAAAATTGGAAATGTAAGACATATATACATGAGACATTTAAACAACACAAAGCTGTGTGGTGTATATATTCATACATATTCAAAAATGCCTAAATGATCTCATCAGTGAATGATATACAATTTAGAGGAAGCCACATTAACCTCCTTGCTGTTTCTGAGATATGCTAAGCATCCCAAAGTAGTTGGCTCTTTCTCCAAAGTCCTCATTACCACCTGATTTATATTTATTTGTTTATCATCTATTTGAATCAATGAAAATGTAAGCTCAATGAGAACAGAAACTTTTTTTATTCACTGCTATATCCCCAACACTTCAAACAGTGCTTGCTACATAAGGGCACTTAGTAAATATTTGCTGAATGAATCAATCGATTGAGACACTGAGCAGGCGAGAATGGTTGAGGGAAGTACTCTGTAAGAACTAAAGGTAAACTCTTGCTTTTATCGGAAGAAAGCATTCCAGCAAATGGATATATGTGATGTGTTTAGAGGGCAGAGCAAACTAGACCTGCTGGGACTGATGAGCAGTGGCAGACAAGGCTGGAGCAAAACTATAAAGACTACTGAATGCCATGATACGTAAAATCTCCTCCAGCTAAAAAATCCTATGATTCTGGGTTTCATTCTATAGAATAGGAGCATTACTACCACTACAGAGCAGGGACAGCTTTTTAAAAAGAACTGACATGATGAAATATGTGTTTTAGGAGACAAATTTGGTAGCAGTTTTTGGATATATTAAGAGTAAGGATATTAGAAGCCTAATGACACAATCCAGGACTTAAAAGATTAGAGTTCAGACTGTGTGGGGACAGATACAGAAGATATTGTGAAAGACGTATAAGCATAACTCAATGATAGGCTGACAAAGGGAAAAATAATTGCAAAATGTAAGCCCAAGTAACTGGAAGGACAGTGGTAACACTGATAAGTGAGGGGAATTGTGTGAAAGAAAGGCCCATGAATACAGTCTTTAGACATCTTAAACATCTTGGTTTTGAGATCAGAGTGGCACAACTATGTGGAAATGTCCAGAATACTGTTGCGACATCCTGGAACTGGCACAGGTGGGGGCAGACAGAAGGATATCAGTCATGAAATCACCATTAAAATCCTTTAATTTTTTATTTTGAATCTATTATTCCATTTACTTCAGGCAAACTCCCTTAGCTTTTAGGCTAAATTGACCAACTATAGATCAAGGAAGTCAATTCTTGGTTAACTGTCAAAAGCAGGTAGTTGATCTGCCATTCCTGAGAATCTACTGGCACTGTTGGCAAAGGAGCTTGCTCTTCTAGGATCCTTTGTTCTGAATATTCTACAAATGTAAAACTGCCAGGAGTCCTTTTGTTACGATACAGAGGAAGCCTAAGAATAACATTAAATGGAGGCAAGGAAAGGAAGCACTAAGAGAGAGGTAAGAGTTCCAATGATACTGTCAAAACTCCAAGAACCAGCTGTGCCTGAGTTCAGCACCACACTGCAGACTTCCCAGTTCAGAGAGTCAAATGGTCCATCTCTTTCTCTTCAAGGCAGCTTGAGTTTTATTTTTACGTCCTATAGCCCCAAAGGGTCCCAATTAATGTAACAAATATAAATGCATACAGCTTTTAGAGTCTAGTGTCCTTCAAGCTAACAAATAGGGAGTGAAAAAGAATCTGCCTTTCAACCCATTACTGAGCACTGAAGCCATCAAGTAATCAGCCTAAAAGGTACTAAGATGGGATCTTGGCCTTGAGATCCACTGAAGAATCCATAGCAAGATAGAAAGAGGGAAGTACTCTTGAGACCAAAAATATTTCTAACTTTGCAATATATTGTTTGTCAGACAGACCTTATTTTTAGTCCCTGAGAAAATGTGTCACTAGCATATAAATGTACTATTTTCCAGCATCTATACAAAATTCAACTGTATCATTCAAACCAAACATCACATCATTCAAGAAATGCCTACTCCTACATATGAAGAACTCATCTGATTAGCCAGCTTTCATTTATGTGTGAAAGACATATAAACAAATGTAGTTTCCATTTCCTCTTCCTGATGGCCCAAGAGAGAAAGTTCATGCTCTAATGAGAGAAGACACTTAATTTAGGGAAAAACACTGATTACTTACCCTTGCTCTCAAAACACACTTCAAACATGTCATAATCTTCAGTGGTAAAGGCGAATTTCCCCTTGGTTGCATCTTCTTTGGAGTACAGAATATGACCAGCAGAATCTGTGATCTAAAATAAAAAGTAAATAAGAAGAGGAAGCAAAATACACTGGGAAAGACAACTTTCAGAAACCAGAGAAATGGAAAGAAACATTGTCAATAAAAGACAGTTGATATTTCTCATTATGATGACTATATTCAATCCATTTCTAAAGACAGGAATTGGATTAGAAGATGAAACCCAGCAATCTACTCTTGCTTTCGGCTCAGGTCATGATCTCGTGGTTTCATGGGTTTGAGCCCCATGTGGGGGTGCTCTGGCAGTGCAGAACCTGCTTGGGAATTCTCTCTCTTCCTCTCTCTCTGCCCCTTACCACTCACACTGTCTCTCTCAAAATAAATAAATATATAAACTTAAAAAAAAGATGAAACCCAAATACAGCAAATTTTCATTCATTCAAACAATATCCACACTGATGGCTAAAACATGTTGCTATTATAGAATGTCTTACCATACCCTAGTGTACCTGGGTGGCTCAGCTGGTTAAGTGTCTGACTCTTGATATTGGCTCAGGTTATGATCTCACAGTTCATGAGACTGAGCTCACATTGGGCTCATCTTTGTCTACTCCTTCCACCCTTTACGTGTACACTCTTTCTCAAAATAAATAAACTTAAAAAAAAAAGAACAATGTTTTACCAAACCAAAAAGTTGATACAGTTGATTTAGATTGGGTTTATTAGCAAAAGTTCACCTTATAAAATATATATCAGTATCATTACCTAGAAAGGGGTATGTCACAAAAACAAAGCAGACCATTACCAAAAGAACATACTACAAAAAGGAAAAAGACATATAGGAACACACCTCTTCTGTAAAACAAACTTTGATGGAGTGGAGGTAGGAGCAGAGAATGGAAACGGGACACTGATGCAAAAAGAGAAGGAAAAACGGCATGCAGAGAGAAGAAAATTTGGAAGATATATTCCTGCAAATTTCACATCAATTATGTCAATGGCCACATGGAGTAGCAGAGAGGCATGGGGGATAAAACAAGAAATTTCTCCTAAAATAGATACCCTTGGCTTCCATTAATTATAATTTCTTTCTTCTAGATTGTTAGCTTTAGTTCTCCAAACTTAAACTGCTCCATTCATAGAGAATAGCCTGTAAGCACAGATGATGTGGCATACAATGATTAAGTGAATGGTCATATATACAATAAGGGAATGACATAGTAATATGACAGACTGGATTGCAACTTCTTTTCTAGAGCTCATGGCTGTCTTAGTAGAAGGCACATTTCATTACTTAGGACAGGAAGCTAGTTCCAGTATGGAACACAAAAGTAGTGGCTTCATTATAGTAAACCAGATGTTCTACAGGTGTCTGGGTGGTTCAGTTGGTTAAGCATCTGACTCTGGCTCAGGTCATGATTTAGGGTTTCTTGAGTTCAATCCCATATCGGGCTCTGCACTGATGGTACAGAGCCTGATTGGAACTGACTCTCTCTGACTCTGACTCTCTCTCTCTCTCTCTCTCTCTCCCTTCCCCTCCCCCCATGCCCCTTCTCCACTTGCTCTCTCTCTCTCAAAATTTAAAAAGAAAAAAAACCAAAAAACTAGATGTCCCAATGCAGTCTATAAAACAAGATTCATTTATAGATGAGATTTTAAATATGAAAACTGAGTAGCACACAAGATTATTTTATAGCATTTTAATAACACTAGTTCTTTTCTGAGTAGTGAGATTTCTTCTTTATACTTTTATTTTTCTCTTGATTTTCTACAAAGGCATGTATCACTTATGGTCATGATGAGAGTTAAAGTTATTTCATTTTCAGGAAAAAACATAACTAAAAAATAGTACTCACTGCTAAACTAATTTTTTTTAATGTTTTATTTATTTCTAGGAGAGAGAGAGAGAGAGACAGCATGAGCAGGGGAGGGTCAGAGAGAGAGGGAGTCACAGACTGAAACAGGCTCCAGGCTCTGAGCTGGTAGTCAGCACAGAGCCCGACGCGGGGCTCGAACCCATGAACCGTAAGATCATGACCTAAGTGAAAGTCGGACGCTTAACCGACTAAGCCACCCAGGCGCCCACTGCTAGACTAATTTGAAATGAGGGGTTAATAGAAAAAGGCACATCTTTTCAATTCTCTAAAAATAACAGTAGTAATATTGATCAAGTATCTTACACCAAGAATGATGTTGATCATTCATTAATTTGTTAGTGGTTAGATCTACGCTGGTCATTTGGGATACAAGGATGGGATGTGTAAGATAGTTCTCATATTCAAAGGGCTGAAAAGTCTAAATGAGGAGATGGATAAGAAATGAGACTTCACTATAATGAGAAAACTGCACTACTAGAGGTAAGCACAGGTGCCAAACGAGATGGAGGTTCAGGGAACATACTGCGGAAGAGGTGACATGTGAGCTAAGTCCTGAAGGATAAGCTGCAATTAAGGGGAAAATGGTGGGGGGCAGGGGGGTGTCTGGATGGCTCAGTAGGTTAAGCATCTGACTTGGGCTCAGGTCACGATCTCGCTGCTTGGGCTGTCTCTCTTTCTCTCAAAAGTAAACAAACATGAAAAAACATTTTTTAAGGGAAAAACGGGTGTTAAAACATTCAGGGTAGAAGAAATAGCAAATATGAAGACCTGAAAACAAAACAAAACATAGTTTTATCATAATACTAATAGCTAGTATTTATTAAGCACTTACTAAATGTTGAGTACCATGCCAAGTACTTTATATGCATTTAAAATTTAATCTTTATTATAACACTATAGGTAAGAACATTATTTCTCTCATGCTCCATAGCAGGAAACTGAGGCACAGAGAGGTTAAGTGGCTGGAGAGGTACTGGCCAGACCACATAAAAATGCAACACCAGGAGTGCTGAGGTGGCTCAGTCTGTTAAGCATCAGACCCTTGATTTAGGCTCAGGTGATGATCTCATGGTTGGTGAATTTGAGCCGTGCAGAGCCTGCCTGGAATTCCCCCCCTACCCTGCCCCCACCAACTTGTGCACATGTATTCTCTCTCTCAAAATAAATAAACTTAAAAAAAAAATGCAACACCATGCTAAGGAGTTTAAACTTCATTGGGTCAAAGTGGAAAGGCAATGAAGAATTTGAAACAAGAGATTAATAGGATTCAGTTTGCAATTTAGAAAGATGAATCTGGTAACACCATGAAGACAGACTCAAAAGGGACAATGCTAGAGATAAGACGCTGGGTTAGGACAGAATTCCAGCACTCCAGGTTAGCAATGATGAGGGCTTTGGGCATGGGGAGAAGGGGATGGATTTGAGGGATCTGAGGGAGGGAGAGGTCATAGGACAAGACCAAAAAGTCAAAGTCCCCAAGGATCAACTGAGCAACCTAAGTGAATCTAATGGGCCAGTGTAAGTCCACAAGATGGTAGACACTTTGGCAGACTAAGAAGATACGCCTGTCTCCAGGGAGAAACCAATGACTGCCGTGTCATGCTGGGTTTTCAGATCATCCAAGTTTTCAAAAGAAGCTGGACATTTTAACCTTCATTTGAAATCTCCTAAGTTTTAAATCCTCACAACCAATCCCAACATAGGAAAAACTATGTCAAGGCCAAACAAAAGAGGTCTACAGAACCAAGTTCTTCTGGGCCAACAATTTCTGACTTCTGCATAGGACAAGAAAAGAGCTGACTAAAATCACATGAAAGCATTGCTAGGCAGCACTGACGTCTCAGCTGAGATCATGGGCCATGGATTTCTAACTGGCAACACTTAACAGCCAGGATGCAGGAACAAAGATCTAGGCCTGAGGTTCTGTTTTTGGAAGGATACAGGGATTAAGAAATTATGCTATAAACTTTATACATAATATTTATTTAATCTTCACAACAAGCCCAGAGGGGACGGTCTTATTATCCCCATTTTAAAGACAAGGAAACTTAGTAACCTGCTCGTTATCACAGAGTTAATAAATTCTGTATGTGGATTTGAAGTAGTGTACAATGCATGCTTTTCCTCCATTCCATGTTGCCTCCCCACAAAAGGAACGCGTGAAAGAATGGAATGCACAGAAGATAAGAAAGACTAACAGAGTGTGATAGATTCTCTCTCAGTCCATACAAATCAGAGTGCCTGAGAGTCCTCTCAAGCAAACACTCAAGTCAAGTTCAGTCTATTCTTCACCCTGGAGGGACTAGCAGGCAGCCAGAAGGTAGAGGTCCTAAAGTCAGCAGTAACTAAACAATCTGCAAGGAGAAGGGAGATTCCTAAAGGTCTCTTGTTCATGTGACACTTTTTCTGAATCAACTAAAAAAAAAAAAAAGTTTAAGAAAAGACTACCTTAGAACCCTGAACACACACATATTACAGGGCAAAAAGGTCTGGGAACTATTCAACTCCCAAAGTAATGTGTAGTCATCAATGTGTCATTCTCCCTTTCTTCAGGATCTGTCACCCATTAGACACTCATATGTCCCTGCTCCCGCTCCCTGACTCCCAAAAGCACAGCGACAATACTTTAAGAGCAAGGAGGAAGTTCAGAAAGACTGACTGCAGAAACAACAGATTTTCACATTCCAAGCTGATCAAAAAACTTAGGTTTGGTTCCTATGAATAAAGTTGCAGAAAATGTAGAACTTCTCTAAGGCATTCTTGGATTAAAAAAATAAGCTTCCAGGGGCACCTGGGTGGCTTAGTTGGTTGAGCGTCCGACTTTCGCTTAGGTCATGATCTCGCGGTTCGTGGGTTCGAGCCCCGCGTCGGGCTCTGTGCTGACTGCCAGCTCGGAGCCTGGAGCCTGTTTCAGAGTCTGTCACTCCCTCTCTCTCTGACCCTCCCCTGCTCATGCTGTCTCTCTCTCTCTCCTAGAAATAAATAAAAATATTAAAAAAAAAAAAAAAATAAGCTTCCAGATTTGTTTACACCAGTTAAGTTCACTTCTGCCCCTACATACTTGCGCTCTCTTTCTCAAAAACAAATTAAACCTCAAAAAATAAATTAAAAAGATTTTATTTTTATGTAATCACTACACCCAATGTGGTGCTTGAAGCTTCAACCCCGAGATCAA